GAACCGACAATCCTTTGGTTTGTAGCCCATGCTCAGTCCACTGAGCTACACCAGCCAGGGCTATCTTTATTTTTTTTTTAATTCTTTTTTCTTCTTGCTGTTCTAATTGGTTGTTTTTTTTTTTGCTTCCTTATATCCCACATTACTGATTTGATTCTTGGCTTCATCCACTCTATTGTTGTTTCCCTATAAATTTTTTTTCATTTCAATTGAAAATGTATCCTTCGTTTCTGACTGCATCTCTTTTATGTTGTTGAGGTCCTCAGTAAGTTGATTGACCATCCTTATAACCAGTGTTTTGAACTCTACATATAGTAGATTGCTTGTCTCCATTTTCTTTTAGTTCTTCTTCTGTAGTTTTGACCTATTCTTTCATTTGGGATATGTTTCTTTGTCTTCTCATTTGGGCAGCCTCCCTGTGTTCGTTTCTATGTATTATGTAGAGCTACTTATGTCTCCCAGGCTTGGTAGAGTGGCTTACTGTCGTGTCCTATAGGGTCCTGTGGTACAGCGTCCTCTATTACTCAAACTGGGTACTCAAGGTGTACCCATCATGTGGGCTGTGTACACTACCTGTTGTAGTTCAGCCTTGATTGTTGTTGGCACTTCCAATGTTAGCCACCCACTGTGTTCTGTCCAGGGTCACACAGCATAAGCTCAAAACAATCTGCAGATGGCTCTACTTGTGCTGGACTTGGAGTTGCCCAGATGAGGCCATGCTGTGACTCAAGGCCAGCTGCTGCCAGTGCCAGGCCTGGGGCAACTTAGTGAAAGGTATGGGGCTTGCTGAAGCCAGATGCTGCTTGTTTGAGAGAATTTAGGAAAATCTGGAGCATGGGCCAAGACAAGCCATTTATATGGAAAAGCCACTGGAAACAGCTTGGGTGGGCCTGAAATTTGGTTGGGGCCAAGCCTCAGGGAATCACCTGGGTAGGGCAAACAGTGATAGCCAGGTTGATGGAGTCTCAAATATGGCGTTTCCTGCTGGCTCTATGGCTCTGTTTAGGGTGGGCTCAGAAAATGAACAATGGCTTCCACCAGCACTTCTGTCTGGGAGAAAGCTGCCCCCAGCTTTTGCCCTGATGCCAGACAATTTAGATCCTCCCCATATGTCTCTGATGCCTTTCAATCTGGTGCCCCTGCACTGGAGCTCAAAGGGAGTGAGTCCAAGTAAGTCTGTGCGCTGGCCCTTTAAGAGGAACTTCCTGGGATTCCAGAAGTTTCTGTCTTCCACACTCTCAACCCTCGCTGTTTTTTACAGCCAGAAGTTACAGAGACTTATCTTCCTGGCACTGGAATCCTGGTCCAGGGACCCCTCACTCCTGAGATATCCCTCCCAGTTCTTATCCGCCACACACAGGTGTGGGACCAGCCCATTCTGCATCTCTGCTCTCTCCTAGCAGTCTCAGTGTTGTTTCTTCCTTATTTCCGTAGTTGTAGGACTTCCACTCCGCTTAATTTCTGACAGTTCTGAATGATGGCTGTTTAATAGGTTAGTTGCAATTTTGATGTAGTAGTGCAAGAAGACTAGCCATGCCACCGACTTCCTACAGATAGGAAATCTGTACTTCTTAATCCCTTCACCTTTTTTACTTGTTCACCTTAGCTCTTTGTTTCTAAATATTACTTTCTACCAAAAGGAACTAGATCTCCTTGGAGAAGTGGTCAATTCAGGTTTGGTGCAGGGAAAGTAGTACATGGTGAGACCATGGAGTGGTCCAGAGGACAAAAGAGCTGGTTTGGAGGGGTTCTTACTGTCCACATATGGGATAATTTGAGTATCAAGAATAATAATTGATTTTTTTAAATGTGGTAATGGTTTCATGGTTTAATAGATTGTTTCTATTCTCAAGAGATGCATGCTGAAATATTTAAAGTCAAGTCTTATAATGTCTAAAACCCATTTTTAATCTGGCAAAAAAGGAGATATGTGTACAAAAGAGAAGTGGAGCCAGTATGGTAAAATGTTAACAGTGACTCTGGATGACGTACCAAGGTGTTCGTTGTACTATTTTCTTTCTGTGAATTTAAAATTACTCAAAATTTAAAGATAAAAGTTATTTACTGAGGATCTTTTCACAAGTAGCAGGACTTGGGGTCCTGGGCTGACTTGCCCTTTTTCTTTTTAGATTCAAGAAATCCATGGTGAAAGGTTTGGATTCTTACGAGGAGAAAGAGGATGAGGTGATCAAAGAGGTTAGTTAAAGGAAAGGCCTCTGAAGCACCCAGCCCCCATGATCTTGTACCTAAGCAGCCTTTCTCCCTCAGATGGCAGCTCAGATCCGGGAGGTGGAGCACAGCCGTCAGGAGGTGGTTCGGTCCGTCTTAGAGGTTGGTTTCCCTTGGAGAAGCCAGACCAGTATCCAAATCCACTGATTCCCGCTTCTCCCAGGTCCAACATTTCACCTGTCATCTCTAAGAAAACTCATCATCCTCATGCTTCACCTTCTCTGCTTGAATTCCCTTACCTGTGCATCAAAGGGCAGGTTTTGTCAGTGGACAAGATGTGGGCAGGGCTGGAACGGGAGAATTTACAAGATGGGAGAATTGGCATATGCAGTACCCTCCATATGCCAATTTGTTTCCTTTTGGAGGGTGGGAGCATAGCCTAGGCAGATTCTTAAGCATCCTAGACACATTTATTTTTCCTGAATCAAACTCAGCCTCAGGCAGTGCCAGACCCAGAAGAGGGCTCTTCGTTACCTGGAAGCTGGAAAGGGACTAACAGGTAAGAGAATCTCTCATTGGGAGTTTGACCTGTTAGAGCATTCTATAAATTTTTTGTAAGAATATGGGAACAAACGTTATCTTTGCTATCCTCATGGTTCAAGGACCTCCTTTGCCAGCCTGGCTCCTGTTTGTATTTTTCAGCCAAGTAGCCTCCACCTCAGAGAGGCCCTTATACTTGGACCTGCCACCAGCCCAAGAGCTTGACTGGATGGACACAGGACAATCTCTGACATTCATTGGCCACCAGGTACAATGGATAAGCCAGCCAGGAAAGAGTCAATGACCCATCAGCATCAAGAACACCTATCTCTCCTGGGTTTGCGGACCCAGTCTGCGGACTTTTCTCTCTTGCTGTAGTGTTCCATAGTATATAGTGTTTTCAGACATCTTTGCTAACCCTCCAACCATGCCTATTGCTGCCAATGCCATTTAGAAGGGTACCAAAACCTAAGTTGCATCCTCTAGAGAACCCACAATTCCAGCTTAATACACTTACAGCTATCCCACAGGTATCTAAAATTACCCCTCCTATATTTCCAAGAACCGTAGATGCAGATCCTTATCCCATTCATCTTCCACATGCTATCAAGTATGTCTGTTTTACCTCAGTACAAGCTGGCCCCTTAGAATAATTCCTACTCTTCCTTGCAACCCTGTTTCAAAAACAGAGTCACTGTATCACCTGCTATCTTTAGTTTATATTCCAGCTGTACTGTGCTTCCTTTTTGCACATGCAGTTGCCATTGCTAATACCATGTACCCCATTCTGCTGTGTATAATGTATTCCCATATATAATACACACCCACATTTTTGTGCACATTATACATGAATTATACCCATGTACAATGGGCATCCTTATTTTTCCCTCAAAAATTTGGGTAAAAAAGTGCACATTATACATGGCAAAATACAGTATCCTATGAGGAAAGGGTTTTTTGTTCACCTGGCATGTAGTTGGCACAGCTCCACTATTAAGACCATGAGTCTCTTGAGGACAGGACTTGCAATGATTTATTGTGTTTTAAATTTATTTTTAGAGAGAGGGGAAGGGAGAAGGAGGGAGAAGCATTGATGTGCGAGAGATACATCAATTAGTTGCCTCTCACATACCCCCAACCAGGGACCCAGCCAGCAAGCCAGGCATGTGACTGGGAATCAAATTGGTGACCTTTCGGTTTGTGGGCTGGCACTCAATCCACTGAGCCACACCAGCCAAGGCCTATGCTGCTGCTGCTGCTGCTGCTGCTGCTTCTTCTTCTATCTATTTATTTATTTATTTATTTATTTATTTATTTATTTATATGGGGACTGAGTGGTAATGGAAAAAATACAATAAAGATGAAATAAAAATGTAAAAATATATTCTATTTATTTTTAGAGAGGGAACACTGATGTGTGAAACATCCACCAGTTGCCTCTAGCACACTCGCTTCCAACTGGGGACCTGGCCTGCAACCCAGGCATGTGCCCTCACCAAGAATGGAACCTATAACCTTTCTGTTTGTGGGTAATCCCCAAACCACACCAGTCAGGGCTACTGTGTTCTTTTTTACTTACTTATTTTTAGAGGGAGGGGAATGGAGGGAGATGTGTGGTTGCCTCTCATGTGCCCCCTACTGGGGACCTGGCGAGCAACCCAGACATGTGCTTTGACTGGGAATCAAACCAATGACCCTTTGGTTCGCACAGTGGTGCTCAATCCACTGAGCCACACCAGCCAAGGTCTACTGCTAACAGGCTGTAGAATTAGCATTGTGGCACTAGTTCCATCCATCGCCTATAAAGTTTGCCTTTTCTCTGAGTATCCTTTCATATCTTGGCTTTCTATATCTAGGATTTTTTTTTTTCCCCATTTCCAACTACAGGACACACCAGGAGTTGGTAACATCCACTCAGGTAAGGCCCAGAACAGTGTTTCTCAGAGTAAGAGGCAATTAAAAAAAAAAACCAAAAAACAGTAATTAATTTTAGAGAGGAAGGGTGGGAGAAACTTCGATGCAAGAAATATCTGTTGCCTCATGTACACACCCCAACTTGGGTCCAAATCTACAACCCAGGCATGTGCCAACTGGGAATCTAACCAGCAACCTTTTCACTTTGTGGGATAATTGATACACAATTGAGCCATGCTGGACAGGGTGAGGCAGTTGTATATTTGTTACCCCCATCCTGCCCCTCCCACCTCCCTTCTGTTTCCACCCCCCCCCCGCCCCCGCTTGTTTTTGTCCATGTGTCCTTTATACTTGTTCCTGCATATTTTTAAAGTATAATTGCTTCTCAGACGTTTGGCTAAGTCAAGTGTAGTTGTCTGTTCTTAACAGTTTAATATTTAATATGTTCTCAGGACAATATATTAAATGGCTTTTTGGAACAGGAGGTTGGAATAGGAGGTTGCTCTATCCACTCTGTGCATCGACCTGGTATTGCAATACATCCAAGAAAGGTGCACCAGAAAAAAAAAAAAAAAACTGATTAAGATAAAGCACTAACTGCAGTTTAGCTATTAATAGATGAAGGTATAAAGATGTGATACACAATAGAATGTTACTCAGCAATAAAAAATGAAATCTTGCCATTTGCAACAAAATTGGTGGACCTAGAGGGTATTATGCTAACTAAAATAAGATAAAGACCAGTATCGTATCTCATGTGGAATCTAAAGAAACTAAATGAATAAACAAACATTTATAGGGAGTATGCTGATGACTTCCAAATAGGTTGGGGGATGGAAATGGGGGAAAAAAAGCACTATCTGATGAAGAACTTGGATCCTGCATATATCAAGAGCTCAAAACTCAATAAAGACATATAAAAAGATGCTCATCAGAAAGGCTAAAGTTAAAAACTGGACATGGACGTGTGAGAACTGTCACTCAATTGCTGGTGGAATGTAAAGTGGCACAACCACTTTGGAAAACAGTCCAAGTTTCTTAAAATCAAACATGATCAGCCATTCCAAATTGTAGCAGCTTTATTTTTAGCAGCCCCAAACTGGAAACAATCCAAATATGCTTCAACAAAACTTAACAGTGGGATAGTACTTAACACAGCTAAAACTCAATATAACTGCATATGCCAAGCACCTTAATTCTCAATAGGCCATTCTTTTCCAGGAGCCACACCTCCCTGGGTAGTCCAAGATGAGGAATACAGCTCTGGGAATCAACAAATAGGACCTTCCTATGAAGAATTTCTCAGAGAAAGTGAGTAAAGTAATTCAAGAATGGCAGTAAAGTGTTCTTTAAATCTTCCTACTCAAATAAACCATTTACTTATCATTACAGAGGAAAAACAGAAATTGAAGAAACTCCCCTCAGACAGAGTTGGGGCCAACTTTGATCATAGCTCCAACACCACTGCAGGGTGGCTGCCCTCTTTTGGCCGGGTCTGGAATAATGGACGCCGCTGGCAGTCCAGGTATGGGTCCTGTGTCTGGACCCCAACATACCACCCCTTTGGAAAGTCTCTCACTTTTGTCACGTTAACCCTTCATTTCCTTTCAGGCATCAATTCAAAATTGAAGATGCAGCCAGGAACAAACAGCAATCACACAAAGAAAACTAATGGTTTCCTGATACTTTTGTAACAACCATAGTCAGCAAACCCACACCTGCTATTATTCTTTGTATCTGCTTCTCTTAGAAAACACACACACACCCACTACTGGTTTAATAAAGTTTTATTTTTCAAAATGTACAGCTGGTGGGACCTGTAAAAAAAAAATTAAAAAGAATTAGTATAGTCTTGTAATGGGGATGCATACCTCCTACATTATGAGACCCTGGTATTCTTGCTCACCTGTTCATGCATCTTCACCAACAGCTGGGGCATCCCCACCTTTGGTGTTTCTGGTATAAATTACTTGAGCTCTGTGCTTTGAAACTAGTTTAATAAGTCCTAAGGAGAAAATACAAAGTTTTCACATAGCAAGTGACATTAGAAAGTGAATTTTATATTCCTTCCCAAAACAAAAATGCTGAATTCGAGCATGAGAATTTACTACTAGGTAGACCTGCCCACATTTCTTGGTAATAATCTAATCTTAATTATCCTTCTAGAGGGACCCATTACCTGCTCTTGAGATGGCCACCCTCATAGCACCTTATCCAAATTAGGCACTACACATAACTTCACTAACTGCCACAGGGGCCATGGCACGAAAAATGGCTGCCAGGGCTGACATGTTAAAATTGTATTACTAACAACCACTGGTTAGCCTATTTTTTACAATTCCAATAAAAACATTTGAGATGGCTAACACGATCAAGGCCAATTTAAATGTGCAAAACCACACCAGTACAACATTCCCTCTCACCTTTACTAAGGAGCTCCTGAAGGGCTGCCCTAGCCAAGGATCCACGGATCTTCAGTCGCTCAGAGACAACAGCTGGGGTTATAAGCTTGTAGTTGGGAACTTCCTTGCAAAGTTTATCATATGTTGCTTTGTCAAACAAGACTAGGTTATTGAGCTTGTCCCGAACTTTGCCTTTGGACCACTTCTGCTCACAAAAACAAAGGAAAAAGAATCAGTGCCCCTGGAAGAATCACCCTTTTTCTCCCAATCTGTGCCAGATTGTGCCAAATCTCTCTCTAAATGGCAACACTGAGGTCACTCTGTCCCTTGGCCTGCAAAAACATAAAATTGAGAATTTGCAAAAATTCTACAAATTAAGATAGAAATAACAGCAAGCCTGGATATAAAATAAAACAGACCTTGGTACCTAATGCCATCAGATACATTTTGAGACTTCTGGATATGGGCTGAGCCCCATCAGGCTTATTAAAATAATTATTCCAAACCAGGCATCAAAACAAGTTTGTTTTTTAAAAAATATTACTCCTCACTCTAGGCCATGCTTATTGGGAGAGGGAGAAGGAGAGGAACAGAAAAATACTGACTGGTTGCTTTCTGTAAGCACCCAGGAAGGGATAGGAGTACAGTGCCCCAAAACCTCAGCATGTGTCCTGACAAGAATGAAACTGGCGACCTTTATGTTTGCAGGATGATGCCAAACTAACCCAGGCCTAGTCAGGGTCATGTTTATTGAGTTCAGAGATAAGGGAAGAGAGGAGAGAGAAACACTGATTGGTTGACTCTGGCACACACCCTGAAATTTGTTTTTTATAGGACAACACTCCAACCAAGCTACGCCAGGCAGGGTCAAGACAAATGTTTGACACATATTTGTTTAGTTTCGAAGTAGTATGTATCACCCCATTCTTTAAGTGAGGGGAAAAATGAGAATGGTGATTAAGGGCATAGCTTTCATAATCTGACCCTAGCCCTGGCCAGGTAGCTCAGTTGGTTAGTTTTGTCCCATTAAGCCACTGTTACGGGTTCCATCCCTGGTCAGAACACATAAGAAAATCAACCAATAATCAGTGAAGCAACAAATCAATGTTTCTCAAACCAATCAATCAATTACAGTTAAAAATTAGCCCTAGCTGATGAGGCTCAGTGGAATGAACACTGGCCTGCGAAAAGATGGTTGCCAGTTCGATTTGTGATCAAGGCACATGCCTGGGTTGCGGGCCAACTCCCCAGCTGGGGGCAACCCATCCATGTTCCTTTTACATATTGATGTTTCCCTCCCTTTCTCCTTCCTTTCCCCTCTCAAAACAAATACAATCTTTATATGTATACTCAAGATTTAAAAAGTAATCAGACTCTATAACCCACAACGTTAAAGCCATTTGCTGTACGGCTTACTACAGCAATATGGAAGGGGCGCCTCCAGTCTTCCTTAATCTTAAGAGAAACTGACTCCCACCTTCTTTTTGGCTTTGCCGCCAGATTTGTTCACTGGGTCTTTGTCTTTCTTGGCAGACTTCCCAGCATCTTTCTTCTTCTTGTCGTCCTTGGGCGGCTGTTTAAGAAAGGCGGTTAAACAGCCAGCTCGTAACTCAACCTCATGCTCCCCTCCTTCTGCACCTTCTACCCCACTCCACTAGCGAGCACACGGCTGAGGCAATATACCGGCTCGTCTTCTGAGCCGCAACCGGCAGTTCGGGAGGCCCTCCTCCCAAAGGAGGCTCATCCGCCCCCTGTCACCGTCTGGCCCTCAGAACCGCACTAGCTTTGCACTGCTACTCACCATTGTGAAACTCGAGGAGCGCCGGATTTCAGTGCTCCCTGAGAAAATGTCGGACGAAAAGGAAGCACGGCCCACGAACAATCCCACAAACCACCGCCCCCAGCAAGTGCTTCCGGGGCAAGGGGTGGAGCCCCGCAAAAAAAAAAAAAAAAAAAAAAAAAAAAAAGGTTCGAACACCACCCGCTCCTTGAAGCTAGATTAGGTAGGGCCTTGAGCCCCTGGATTCCGGTTCCTCTGCCGCTTCCCTGGAATCCTGGTTTGGCTTTGCCTTTAGTTTTGAAGCAGTCACGTTGTACTAAGAACCGGGAAAGACCGAAAACTATCAGAACCCGGCAACTAATTTCCTGGCGTTTCACCCGCGTGTTGCCCCAAATGCGCAAGCGCTGCAACCGCCCGCACACCGGGAGCTGGTAGAAAGAAGTGGAGGGCGGGAGACGCATCCCGTGACTGCTGTTCAGGGCGAGGCTGGTGCATTCGAAGTCTTGAGCCGCAGCAGCGCTGATGGCGATTTTCAGTGTATATGTGGTGAACAAAGCTGGCGGCCTGATTTACCAACTCGACAGCTACGCACCACGGGCCGAGGCTGAGAAAACTTTCAGTTACCCACTTGATCTGCTGCTCAAGCTACATGACGAGCGAGTGCTAGTTGCCTTCGGCCAGCGCGACGGCATCCGGGGTTGGCTAGACTCGGGAAGGGGGGTCGGTACTGGGGCAGTAGGCGGGGGTGGAGGTGGGGGCTGGGTCCCTGTTCCCTCCGCGGCATCTGCGGAATGGGGCTTCATTTACCTTTGCTTCACCTTGCAGTGGGCCACGCAGTGCTGGCCATTAATGGCATGGACGTGAACGGCAAATACACAGCTGATGGGAAAGAGGTGCTGGAGTACCTAGGCAATCCTGCTAACTACCCGGTGTCCATTCGATTCGGCCGACCTCGCCTCACCTCCAATGAGAAGCTCATGTTGGCTTCAATGTTCCACTCGTAAGTCTTCCCTGCCCAGTGCCTTGTTGGCCTACACTTGGGTCTTAGACTGGCTGTGTTAGTGTGGTTGTATGAACGAGCAGTCGCCTGAGCCGCAGTGCTTACCTTTCTCTACTTCCTTTTAAATCATCAGTTATCCCCTGGGTGGTGTGGATCAGTGGATTGAGTAGGGACCTAAGGGTCGCTGGTCAGATTCCCAATCAGAGCACAAGCCTGGGTTGCTGAGCCAAGTGCTCATTGGGGGGCCCTCGAGAGGCAATGCACATTGATGTTTTCCTCTCTCTTACCCGCTCTGGAAATAAGTAAGTAGATCAGCTCGTGCGTTATAAAAGGAAAAAAGGCCCTGGCTGGTGTAGCTCAGTGGATTGAGCGTGGGCTGGGAACCAAAAGGTCTCCAGTTCGGTTCCCAGTCAGGGCACATGCCTGGGTTGCAGGCCAGATCCCCAGTGTGGGCCACATGAAAGGCAACCACACATTGATGTTTCTCTCCCTCTCTTTCTCCTTCCCTTGCCTTCTCTCTAAAAATAAATAAATAAAATCTTAGGAAAAAATAAAAGGAAAAAGAACTGATTCAGTATAATTATGTTTTAGCCAGTATTGGCAGTGGTGTGATGTTGCATAAATGAGCTTCAATTCTGAGCCTTAGTTTTTCCATGGGTATAGTAAGGCAATTGAACTAAACAATCTTTAAGATCTTTTTATGCTCTCAACTACAGTTTGAGATGTGCTGGCATACCGCTAACTGTGGCACATATTCCCAGTGTTAATTTGACCCAGAGTTTTTAATGTAAAATGTTGTAAAGTATAAATGTACAGTAAGCCCTCATTTAACCTCTTGCGTAGGTTCTACAACTTTAAGCAAAAGGAAGTACAGTTGACCTTTGAACAAGGAGGGAATTATGGGTGTGACCCCCTCCTCCCCTTTTTTTTTTTTAAATCTTCACCTGAGGACATGCTTACTGATAATTAGAGAAGGGAAGGGAGGGGGAGAGAGAAGGAAACATCTATTGCTGGCCTCTTGCAGGTGCCCAGACTGGGACTCTAACAGCAACCCAGGCATGTACCCTCATGGGGAATAGAACCTGCAACCTTTTGATTTATAGGACGACAATCCAACCACTGAGCCACACCAGCCTGGGTCGCCACATACAACTTTGACTCCCCAAAACAACTGCTGTTATCCATTGGCGTCTGCAGGGTATTGGTTACCGGACCCCTGCAGATAACCAAAATCCATGGAAATTCAAGTCCCTCTCATAAAATGGTGTAGAACAATGTATACAGTCAGCCTCCTGCATCCAGTCATTCCAAAATGCGGGTTGAAAATACTGTTTTTGATTCTAAGTTGGTTGAGTCCTTGTATTTGAAACCTGGGGATAGGGAAGGCTGACTATTTATTGGAAAAACTTGAGTGTAAGTGGATCTGTGTAGTTCAAACCCATATTTGTCAACTGTATAATGAATCCAGTTTTACCATAAGTTAATTGATATAAACAAAAGTTACTATGGCTTCTAATCAATATTACAATAAAAAAAGGTGTTATTTGAGGAATTGCTGTAAAATTCATGTAGAATTCAAGTGGATTTTAAAGAAAATTGGTATTGCTGTTAAGCAGTTCACACTGCCTCTTCTGATTGACCTGGCTGTAATATGAACTCCTCAGTGGGTAGGATCACTTCAGTGGAAAAGTTTGGGAAGCACTTCTACCTTACAGCAGTGGAGTACATTCCCAGCTTTGCCTTCTTTGCAAATAGGCTGTTCGCAATCGGCTCCCAACTATCTCCTGAACAGGGCAGCTCAGGCATTGAGATGCTGGAGACAGATACATTCAAACTGCACTGCTTCCAGACACTGACAGGTATGTGTCTCAGACAGTCCAAAGAGATGCAGTGGGACAGGCTGGGGAAAGGATTGACTAAAGCTTTGGTAAGCAGTGTTGGAGGCTGGGGGTGGGGGTGGGGAAGGGGAGGATAGCTTTTCCTGGGACAATTGCATAGACACATCTATTTATTTGTTTTGTGAATCCAAAGCTAATATTTAATCTGACTCTGATTTTGTCCACACCACCCAGCATGCTCGGCCCTGGTTATCCTGTGCACAAATAAAACTCACCTTAATGTTATCTCATATTGCACATGTTTTGGAAGGTATAAGTGTTGTTTCAAAATTATGGATGCCAAATGGAAATGACCTTTGGATCATGAGCATCACTGCTTCACTCCTTTAATGCAGATAATTGAAAATTGTCTGAGTTTGTCCCTCCTGGCACTTTCCGCTAAGGGAGCCCTAAGACTAGCAGTAAGAGACAGAGCCAAAACTCAAAGTATGGTCTCAGCCAGCTGGATGATGCAATAAAGTAACTTCAATTTTCTGGTCTCACAGATTTAAAATCTTACCTTTCCTGCTTTGTGGAGCAGTAAGGATAAAACAAATACAGGCTGATGAAAGAGCTTTACAAAATTGAAAGTGCTGTACAAATACAGGATGATGTTACTTGCTGCATTTTCTACCCTGTGTTAACCATTCCTGGTCCCTCCAGGGATCAAGTTTGTGGTGCTGGCAGACCCTCGGCAAGCTGGGATAGATTCTCTTCTCCGAAAGATTTATGAGATTTACTCAGACTTTGCCCTCAAGAATCCATTTTACTCCCTGGAAATGCCTATCAGGTAGGTGGTCCCATTCCCCAGATCAAATTCTCCTTGCCCCAACCTGTATGTTCTTTTCCAAAGTCATATTGAAGTGTAATACAAGTTATTTTTAAATAAAACAAGGTGAGTAGCCTTTTACTTATTTAAGAAACCAAGGACTCCTTGGAGTTTATGTCCTTCAAGCAGGCTCTTCAGTGGCTCTGCCTCTGCATCCAAAGTGGGGAGAGAGCCATAGTCCTCAAACTTTGTCTTTATTTGTGCCTTCTGGGTCTGGTGTAGGTGTGAGCTGTTTGACCAGAACCTGAAGTTAGCCCTGGAAGTGGCAGAGAAGGCTGGAACTTACGGACCTGGATCATAGGCTGAACCTGCAACAGCCCCTCCCTGCTTCCTAAATACTGAAAGATCCTATAGCAGGGTTCCTGCCAATTCCATTCCAATGGAAATCCCAGCAGCCTTGGTAGTACCCTTGAAAAGGGAAGGATGTTGAATCTGATGATGCAGTGATCCCTGAGCCTTAAAACTATGCTGTCTTCCCTCCTATATCTATCATGGTCCTACTTCCCAATTCTGTACAGATTTATTTATGGAGGAGGTAGGCCCACAAATGCTGTAATAAACATTCCTTTGATCTCACTGTCTGCTATCCTAATTGATGGTTTTGGGAAAGAGTTCCAGGAGGGGAGATGGGAATAATAGGGAATTCTGGGGAGATATTCTAGTAAAAAGCAAAAACAAATCTGTTCATTAAATGAATGAACATGGGACTTTGAATCACGGGCCATGGGTCTAGTTTCATAATTGCTACTGAATTCCTAGAGTGGTGGCACTGGTGGTGGTGATGGAATATTTATCAAATGTTTACAGCCAGGCTATACTGGTTTATTTCACTTAATCCTTACCCAAACTTCAGGGGGTACATTCTAATACAAGAGATTTAGCACATTACAATCTCTGTGTGCCTCCAAGTCTCAAAGTGAGTTATTGACTGCCTGAATTTGAACCCAAGCTTTCTGCCTCCCTCCATCAAGTTACTTAATATGCTTGAAACCCAGTAGCTTTATTTCTGAAATCATCATTGGATTACCCAGTTGGATTAGACAGTTCATGTCTTCTCTGTCTTTAAGTTGAAGACAGAAAGACATGAACTTAAAGGAATCCATGCCAGCTTTCCCTTTCCAGGGAAATGGCGTCTCACTTTCAGAGCAGGCACTGAAAGAGTATTTCCCAAAGAAAGCTGTCTCTGGCTTATACTACCCCCTTTTTAAAAAAAGGATGACTCACTGACAGTGTTTAGTATCAAATCTAGTTTTAATTTCTATAACAAGTCTTATCCTCCTACCCATATCGCCCTGTTGTACCCAGGATAATAAGAGTGATGGCCTCTCTTCCCCTGGAGCGTGAGGTATTGGCAGTAGTAGCTACCCCTTCTGAGAGGCCTTAGGGGAGAAGGCAGGGGCAATGGGTGCCCTGCAGCTGCAGGAGAAGCCTCACCTCTGGTAGGGATGGGATGGGATGAGGACAGGGAAGGACTCAGAAAAAGGGTATAGGAGACCCTGACTGCAGTAGTTTCCTATTTGAAGGCAGAAAATAAGAGTCCAAGAACAAAGGTTGTCTTTTAAATACAGCATAGGATGGGGAACTGGGACCTTACTAATGACTCATAATTTCCAGTGCCACCTGGGCTAGGGAAAGGAGCATAAAAGGGAAGCCAAACGTTCAGTGCTAGCCACAGCAGACCCCTCTTCTCCCAGCCCCATGCAGGTAAAAGGCCACCAGGTGGGAGAGGATGCTCTGGAGCCTGCACTCTTCATTCAGCCTTCTTGGGCACTCGGCCCATCTTGGTGCAGATGTTTCGTAGGACGAAGAAGGCAGCTGTGCTGACTGCACAGATCACTTCAGCCACCCAGAAGGCTGTGCTCCAGTTGTAGTGCTTGGCAATGGAGCTGAAGGGCAACCCAGCCAGAAAGCCACCCACTGCCAGGGAGGAGGGAAGAGCCAGTCATTTGTGAGACTAGAGCCAGTGGGGCCCAGCCCAGCGTCTAACTGGCCTATGTAGGGGAGAGGTAGAGACTAGGGGTATCACTTACCATTGGCCATTAGTCCCACAATGGCATGGGAGGTGCCACATAAGTTGGGAGGGGCACTCTCGTTGGCTATAACTCCAAACAAGGCAATGGGACCATAAGAAGAGAAACCAAACAGAGCTCCCAACACCAGGATCCAGAGCTGCAAGGGCCATGCAAGGTAGCATTTAGTCTGAGAAAGCCTACATAAGGCTTTTCCCACCACAGGAGAGAGGAGTGCTTGGTCCCCAGAAACAAATACTTGTAGTAGGGAGATGGTGACTCCCTCATCCCACTTCCCAATACAATTGACAGCGCAGAGCTGGAGGAGTGGGTTCTACACTGAGCCAACCCATGGGTATGGGTATTTGGGTACATGAAGGAAGTACAGAAATCATCCCTCCAAATCAGATGCTGTCTTTTCTCAATGTATGCAAACTGGATTGACTAGGGGTACGGCAGAATGGGTAGGACGAAAGTGAGAGAAACCAGAGATAAAGCATGAGTCACCTCATGTTCCTTAAAACCTGTGAGCTCAGCAAGAGGGTGAAGAGCCAGAGTCCAGAAAGCAATATCCTAGAGGAGCACAGAGAAGGCAAAAAACAAAACCAGAGTTGAGGAAGGGGCACTAAAGTACAGGGGAAAGGAACGGAGGTACAAACAGAACCGGAAAGGAAAATTGAGAAACAAAGAAAGTCGGGCCAGGCTGCTGCCAGGAAGGAGATTGAGTCAGTGGCCTTTGCTTTCTCATCATCTGTGGGTGGGTCTGCCCTGGGCCAGGCCCTCCTTATTTACCTTGGGGGAATCACTGGTCACAGTTACCCGGAAGAGGTACATGGACACTGTCATGCCAGCCATCATGAGCAGCAACAGGCCATGGCGAGGATTCCCGTAAGTAGATAGCCCTGCCTGTGGAGACAGTCCCAGCAAAGTCAGGCCCTAATAGCACCACTGGACTCTGACATAACAAGCCTCTCCTGACAGGTCTTTGGCAATCCCATCACAGTTCTTGGCCTGGGTGGCTCTGGGAAGCCCTGGGACCTGCTCATTGTGTTCTGAGACCAAACTCCACAATATCCCTTCCTCCATTTGAAGCAGGCTCAGGACACATTCTGGCAACTGCACCATCCCTCCCCAACCCCAGTTTTCCTGGGGCTGCAGAGAAGCCCACTGCTAAGCTGAGAAACTCTGGCTCACCTTGACATCAGTTAAAACCCTTTTCCCAAGAGCCTTATCTCCACATCCCTAGCAAAGACAGCCTAAACTCATTCCTACCTTACCCAGCCTATGCCAGGATATGCCAACCTGCCTGTAACCAAAGGCTCCCACCTATCTGGTGTCTGTCCCAGTCATGCTTGGTAAAACTTAAAGGGATTCTCCTTCCTGTCCTTCTGCCCACTCACCTTCGCCATGGCCCGGTCTGACAGGTAGCCAGCTGCAATACTACCTACAAGACCTCCAACCTCCAGGGCACTCATGTAGGAGCTACCTGCAGTAGGAGTTGTGGAAAGGGGAAAGAAAGGGTGGAAGGGTGTTACACATTAGGATTGTCCCAGGTTGGCTTAAACTGAGAGGTACAGGATCCCCAAGGATGACTGCTATAGCTGCCTGAGCAGTGTCTAGCCTCAGGGAAAGAAAAGGGGATAAAGAGATTTAGGCCTGAATTTCCCATCCTCTGCATTGGTTTCTGCTGTCTATGCCCACCTCTGTCCCAACACACATCTTACCCACGAGGGCTGACTGTCCTTTCTCCTGGATAAGGAAGAACTGGCCCCAGTCAGTACAGCAAGTCTTTACTCCAAACACCACAAGGTAGCTAGTGGAGAGCACCCACAGGTAAGGGGAAAGCAGCAGCTCCTGTAAGGTACTGTCCTCCTCCAAGGAGCCTGGGATAGAAAGTCAGGCCTGAGACTCTGCTTCCGCTGCCCTACCCTCTTTGAGCCCCCACCACTCATTAAGCAGCCACAGAAAGAGTCTATCCACATGGCCAAGAATCAGCAGGAAGTTACCCTTCATCCATTGCTCTGCCCTCTCCCCTCACTGCAAGCCTGAACAAATGAGATACTGATGTTGAGGGTGGATGGAGGAATGCCCCCAAGCCACTTTAGTTTAGGTGCTGTCCAGGACAGAGAAGCCTGGATCTGTTATGAGAAAGAGCCAAGGCATAATATGAATGTTTGTTGGCTCTGCCACTTGTCTGGTACTTAACTGCTTCTTGGGATGGATTTTTATCTACTTTCCACCCACTCTCTGTCACCATTCCAACCCCTACATCCATTGGCTAGCACAGGGCCAGGCATAACAGCCAGTCCTCGACAAAAGTCTGCCAAATGAATAATGAAAGCTGTCAAGGGGTAGGCTTGGGTGGGTGCTCACCCTTCTTGCCCTTGGAGGGGGTGGGGTTCAGGTTGCAGAGTCCAACATCAGCAGGTTCATTGTGGATGAGCAGGAGACAGAGGAAGGAGACAGCCACACACAGGGCCCCAGACAGGGCCAGGGTGCTGCGCCAGCTATAGCTCTGAGCGAGAAGGGTTGCCAGGATAGGGCCCAGCCCTCCAGCCAGGTTCATGCTGGTTGATAGGATGGCCCACCAAGTGCCAAATTGAGATGGCTCAAACCACTGTGGGGCAGAGAGGGACAGAGTACGTACCCAGCCTACAGTACATGTTGAAGGAGGGGATCAAGTGGAGCAGACCAGAAGCTCACATTACAGGGATGAGGGAGAGGGTGCTTCTACTTGGCAGGGCTATTTCCCTCATCTGCCACCTGATCCCACCATGTTCAGACTCCTAAAATATCTTGGCAAGCAATAGGAGTCAGACTAAAACTCCTGAGGAAATAGCTCTGGGTTGGGAGTGGAGGTGCTGGTGCTCCCACATGCTCTTCAGGCCAATTTAAACAGGCCTTTTGGAAGCAGACACTCACCTTTCTCAGGACCTTCCCACATGGGGGCCAGCCCAGCCCCTGTGCCAGGCCATTGAGGAACCAGAGGGCAGTGAAGACAGGCACTGTAGAACTCCAGGAAAAGACTATGTTGACCAGGCCAACCAGGAGCAGCCCAGATGAGAAGAGCCAGCGAGCACTCATTTGGTCAGACAGTACCCCACTCACAAACTTGCTAATGGCATAGGCTGCTGACTGGCTGCTGGTGATGAGCCCTGCAGTGGACAGGAGCAGGGAACAGAACACCTAGGGTTTAGGGGCCAGGGCAGAGGCACAGGATAGGTGGGAGACACATGGGATCAGGTGGGAAGAGGTGCTGGGCAGGGGGAGACAGCCTCCTTCCAAGAGGAGCAGGAGGACCTGTGCCGCAATCCTGAAACTTGTGCATGGACCCTGCAACTCCTCCTGACTTACCATCAGCCCTAGCCCCAGGCTGACCCATGATTTTTCAGCCTCTTGTAGAATTCAGCTGCAGCTGTCAGGAAGCAAGAAGAGGGCAGGAAAAGGCAGCACCCCTCCCTGGGATATATCTCTGACTGATTTCCCCTCACCCTGGATGCCAGCCCAGGGCCTCTGGCAGTTCTGTTGCCCCATCTTTGAACATGGGGTGAAGGGCTTAGAATTGGA